ACAAGATCCATGCTGGCAACCGTGGGGACTACAGTCGGACAATATATAAATCGGTAGAGAAAGTGTGGAGCTTCCGAATAAGCGAACTAATGATTGACCACTATCCGTCGAAATTGATACAAATATGGTCACTGTACTATTGTAGTTGGAAAGTGGACACCGTATGGATGTGGCGTTGATGACGTCGGCAGCAACTGTCCAATTGTAGATGCCACTGAATATACATATAGCTCTAGATGAGTTTATGAGGTTGAAATTATCGCCAATCACTGTTACATTTGTGGCATTCATCGCTTGCGTGTCAGTAAGGTATATAGTGGTCAGATAGTAAATGATGGGGTCATCGGTGCAGTTAGTTCCGTAATGACGTGGCTGACATTGATCGCAGAAAGTTCCTGTAAATCGATGGGGATCGCTGCAAGTACATGTGTTTTGGGTTTGGTGGCATGTGCCGTTGTTGTTTTGGCAGAGGGAGCAGGGATAGCAGTAGGGATAGGCGAAGCGTAGTGAGGCGCAGGTGGAGCAGGTAGGTCCGTCGTATGCTGGATAGCATGTACACTTTGTTGTGTTGAGGTTGCACATTCCTCGGTAGTTGCAGTCAGCTGAAGTCAGGCATGTGGAGTTGATGGGGATGATAGTTGTTGTTTGTCCATATAGGGTGTGTGTGTATGCATATATGGCTAGTATTATGAGGATATGAAAGCGTAATCCCATATTTATTTGTTTTGGGAGATCTAAAATTGGTAGTGAAGAACTGTGTGTTTTTGTTGCTTTCAAATGCTCGAAACCGTTTTTGTAGCTAGGAATTATTTTTACTTTTGGAAGTTCTTTTTATTCAGTTGTTTGTCTACGGATGCTGTGATTGGTTGAAGCTGTTTCTGAAGTGTCGCTGCTTTTTCGTAGACAGTGATCCTTTTGATTTGGTATTGGAAAAGATTAATCCTGTGAGTTATATAAAATTTCGTGTTGCCGATATGGGGTGTGGGTGTGGGGTATGGATGTGGGATGTGAGGTATGGGTGTGAGTTGTGGGGGTGGGGGTGTGGGGTTGGGGATGCTCTCTAAAAAAAAAGCAGTTTTGCAGAACCCTCCGAAAAGGTTCTGTAGATTTCTAAAAGACTCCAAATGTGTCCAAAGTCTCAAAAAAAGGATAAAAAATTCGACAGAACCTTTTGAAGGTTCTGTGGAGTACCCACTAGCAGAACCATCTCTTGCAGAACCTTTTTTTAGGTTCTGTAGAGCAAAAAAAGGTTCCGTGAGAAAATACGAAACCTTGAGGGTTCTGTACAAAACCATTATCGTTTCATGAGAAACCCTAATGGTTCCGTACTGAGGCCTAATGCTTTTGTACAGAACCCTCAAGGTTTCGTATTTTCTCACGGAACCTTTTTTTGCTCTACAGAACCTAAAAAAAGGTTTTGCAAGAGATGGTTCTGCTATTGGGTACTCCGCAGAACCTTCAAAAGGTTCTGTCGAATTTTTTATCCTTTTTTTAAGCCTTTGGATACATTTGGAGCCTTTTAGAAATCTACAGAACCTTTTCGGAAGGTTCTGCAAAACTCCTTTTTTTTAGAGAGTGGGGGTGTGGGTGTGGGGGTGTAGGTGTGGGGTGTGGGGTGTGGGTGTAGCTTTTCTCTTCGTTCACACCCACACCCCGCCCACGCCCACACCCACCCTGCACCCACCCTCACACCCACACCCACCCGCGAGGAGCACCCTTGCTCAATGGATTTCACCGATTTGGCTACTATGGTTACAGCAGATAGGCCTTGCACACCTAGAAAAACGCCGAAAGTTTCAGCTCAAACAGATGACATGTTCACGAGATATAGATGTCGCAAGTAGGAGGCGGTAGGCCTTGCTTTCAGTAGAG